TTATGGAAAGCCAAATCAACATAAGGAGTATATGTAATCCCATAAACTCAGTGCCATAATAAAAGTTCTCTTGTGTGACATTCTATGTTCAGTTATCAGTACTGAGGTTAAAAGTTACAGGCAAAGGAATATACATCCCAGAATTTCTGTTTTATTTATTGGGATGAAACTGTTAATTGTAAGGTATACCTGACTAACCAAATTTGCTTCTCCATTGATTTTAATAGTTGGTCTTAACTATGTATTTTCACTTAAATTCCTTTTTTTTTTTTTTTTTTTTTGAGATGGAGTCTCATTCTGTTTCCTAGGCTGGACTGCCTCCTGGGTTCAAGCAATTCTCTGCCTCAGTCTCCCAAGTAGCTGGGATTACAGCCACTCACCACCAAACCCAGCTAATTTTTGTATTTTTTTTTTAAGAGACAGGGTTTCACTATGTTGGCCAGGATGGTCTCGATCTCTTGACCTCGTGATCCGCCCATCTCAGCCTCCCAAAGTGCTGGGATTACAGGCATAAGCCACCGCGCCCGGCTCTAATTTTTGTATTTTTAAGAGAGCCAAGGTTTCACCATGTTGACCAGGCTGGTCTTGAACTCCTGACCTCAGATGATCCGCTCACCTCGACCTCCCAAAGTGCTGGGATTATAGGCCTCAGCCATCCTGCCTGGCCAACATATGGTCTTTTTAGGCATTAAAATTCCATTAAAAAAATTAACACAAAAGCTTGGAAAATATATTAAGTCTTTTGTAAAAGGTAATAAGACAAACTAAGGTTAATGGAAAAGTGCCAGGATTAAGTAATTCAACGCTTTGTAAATCAGATTTAAGAACTGGGAATAGTGCTAGCGTATTTAAAAAGTTTTTTTTTAAATGCCTGCAACAATTCAGCAATCACCTAACAATAGATTATAAAACCTGTGAAACTGACAAATTACTTAACATATTACTCAGAGAAATGTAAGAAAGGTGATTTAAAATGGTAAAACTGGCAAATTTATAAGCAGGAAGAGAAGAGGATTTTTAGTGAACAACCATTTTCTATTTCTGGGATACAGAGAAATGCTTTGGAATTTCAAAATAACTCATTATAAGGTAAAGTTTTTTTATTTTTTATTTTATTATTTATTTATTTATTTATTTATTTTTTATGACAGAGTCTTACTCTGCTGCCAGGCGCTAGGCTGGAGTGCAGTGGCAGGATATCGGCTCACTGCAACCTCCTCCTCCTGGGTTCAAGCAATTTTTCTGCCTCAGCCTCCTGAGTAGCTGGGACTACAGGTGCATGCCACCACGCCCAGCTAATTTTCGTATTTTTTTTTTTTTTTGAGACGGAGTTTCGCTCTTGTTACCCAGGCTGGAGTGCAATGGCACGATCTCGGCTCACCGCAACCTCCGCCTCCTGGGTTCAGGCAATTCTCCTGCCTCAGCCTCCTGAGTAGCTGGGATTACAGGCACGTGCCACCATGCCCAGCTAATTTTTTGTATTTTTAGTAGAGACGGGGTTTCACCATGTTGACCAGGATGGTCTTGATCTCTTGACCTCATGATCCACCAGCCTCGGCCTCCCAAAATGCTGGGATTACAGGCTTGAGCCACCGCGCCCAGCCTAATTTTTGTATTTTTAATAGAGACGGGGTTTCACCATGTTGGCCAAGATGGTCTCAATCTCTTGACCTCGTGATCTGCCCACCTTGGTCTCCCAAAGTGCTGGGATTACAGGCTTAAGTCACCATGCCCGGTGTAAGGTTAAGATTTAAAATAGCAAGAAAAACAATAATGACCTGTCACTACCGTTCACTCCTGCCAAGAATTCTACTGAAGTGTTAATGAACATCATCACTTAGGCTATCTCAGACTTGAATTGTGGTGCAAGTCACAAGACTACAATGGAAATGTCTGTCTCTGAAGTAAAACAAAAACAAAACTAGGAGTGTTAATTTCTTTAGGTAGGTTTGTGTTTCCAAAGTTCTTCAAGTTAAAAATAAAGACTGGGTGAGCTCAGTGGCTCACGCCTGTCATCTCAGCACTTTGCAAGGCAAAGGTGGGTGGATTGCAGGTCAGGTGTTCAAGATTAGCCTGGCCAAGATGATTAAACACTATCTCTACTAAAATTACAAAAATTAGCTGGGTGTGGTGGTGGGCGCCTGTATCCCAGCTACTCAGGAGGCTGAGGTGGAAGAATCGCTTGAACCCAGGAGGCAGAGGTTACAGCAAGCCGAGATGGCACCACTGCACTCCAGCCTGGGCAACAGAGCAAGTAGTTGGTATGTATGTATGTATATATTTATGTCTCAACAAAAATAAGTAAATAAATACATACCAACTGCTTCAAGCAATTTACGGTCAATCATTGATGTGAAAACTGGGCCAAAGCAAAAAGTTTTTGTGGGAGAAAAACTTTTTATTGGGATAGGTCCTTAAGCTGCAGATTCACCAAAAACGACAAAATTAGATGGTTCTAAAACTTGGATTTATGCATCTGGGGTACTTGCATTGCAATCTCTTTGATTATTAACACCTAATCAAAATGTAAAGCAGTAACATAGATTAAAAAAACAAACAAACAAAACCCACCACCACCACCAAGGCATTACTTAAGGTGTTTTTCATGAAAATCCAGTTCCTGGAGCTGGATGTGTAAAAAGCATAAAAACCAAATTGTCAAGAACTAGGTCAACCAGGTTAGGTGAAGTAGTCACAAAAAACATCCTAAGGACAAACATCAGGTTTTCATAACACAGTGTAATGGAAATGCCACTAAACCAGACAACCTGGGTCCACTCCCATACACCGTGTAACTGGTTATATGTACTGTACCAGTTAACGGCCTACATTCCTATTTCTGCTAGAAACTTAGTAAACTAGAGGGTTTAGAGCGGAGGGTTTCTAAGGTTATCTTACAATTTTTTTTTTTTTTTTTTGAGACGTAGTTTCGCTCCTGTTACCCAGGCTGGAGTGCAATGGCGCGATCTTGGCTCATCGCAACCTCCGTCTCCTGTGTTCAAGCAATTCTCCTGCCTCAGCCTCCCGGGTAGCTGGGACTACAGGCGTGTGCCACCATGCCCAGCTAATTTTTGTATTTTTTTTTTAGTAGAGTCGGGGTTTCACCATGTTGACCAGGATGGTCTGGATCTCTTGACCTCGTGATCAACCCGTCTCAGCCTCCCAAAGTGCTGGGATTATAGGCGTGAGCCACCGCACCCAGCAGTTATCTTACAATTTAAACTGTTACAATTTTAAGTCTTCTGAGAAACACTTGTATCAGAGAGCCCTATGAGGAATGTTGGTAAGACGGAATGTGAGTTGCTAGGAACACAGGTATGCACACACAACTAAATAGTGGGGATAAAAATAATACCTTCAAAGAATACTTGCAGTCACCATTGTCAAATCAGACTAAATTCTTTTTTTTTTTTTTTTTTTTGAGATGGAGTTTTGCTTTTGCCCGAGCTGGAGTGAGGTGGTGCAATCTTGGCTCACTACCACCTCTGTTTTCCGGATTCTCCTGTCTCAGCCTCCCAAGTTGCTGGGATTACAGGCACCCACAACCACGCCTGGCTAATTTTTGTACTTTTAGTAGAGATGTGGTTTTGCCACGTTGCCCAGGCTGGTCTGGGACTCCTGACCTTGTGATCTGCCCGCCTCAGCCTCCCAAAGTGCTGGGATTAAAGGGGTAAGCCACCCAGCCCAGCCAAAACAGACTAAATTCTTGAAGTGGGAAAACCATTGGTCATAAATTGATCTTCCACTTATATCAATAAACCTGGAGAATAATATTGTTAGCAATGCTTGTTAAATTTGAGGGCCATGATATGCATAATTCTATCTTCTTCATACTGCAGTTTCAGACTCTGCTACTGAATTGTGCTCCCTCCGAAATTCATATGTGGAAGTCCTAGACCTCAGCACCTTACAATACGACCTTATTTGGAGATCTGCTCTTCAAGTTAAAAGGAGATCCTTGGGAGGGGCTCTAATCCAGTATGACTGGAGTCTTTATAAAAAGTGAAAATTAGGCCAGGCGTGGCTGGCTCACACCCCTAATTCTGTAATCCCAGCACTTTAGGAGGTGGGTGGATCACCTGAGGTCAGGAGTTCGAGACCAGCCTGGCCCCATCTCTACTAAAAATACAAAATTAGCCAGTGTGGTGGCGGGTGCCTGTAATCCTAGCTACTTGGGAGGCTGAGGCAGGAAAATCGCTTGAACCTGGGAGGTGGACGTTGCAGTGAGCCGAGTTCGCGCCATTGCACTTCAGCCTGGGCGCCAAGAGAAATTCCATCTCAAAAAATAAAAAAAATTAAAAAAGGAAATTTGGGGACAGACTAGCATACAGGGAGGACACCATGTGAACAGGAAGCTATCCATCTACAAGCCAAAGACAGACATGAACCAGATCCTTCCCCCAAAACCCTCAGAAGGAACCAACTCTGCCAATAACTACGTTTTGAATGTCTGGCCTCCACAACTGAGAAGACCATCCATTCCTGCTAGTTAGACAATGCAGTTTGTAGTAATTTGTTAAGGCAGCCATAGGAACTAAGATTAAGGTTAATCATTTTATTGACAAATATTGTAAGTTACACATTTTCATGCCAGCCCTAATATCCCAAATCTTCCTAACTTTAAATACTTCAGTGGATTTTCTATCAATAAACAATATGACATCAGAAATTTGGGCCACAGTCAGGCTTAACGGCTCATGCCTATAATCCTAGGGATTTGGAAGGCCAAGGTCAGAGGATTGCTTGAGACCAGGTAAATGGCCTGGGCAACACAGTGAGACCTCATCTCAACAAGAAATTAAAAAACTCAGCAGCATGGTGGCACACGCCTGTAGGCCCAGCTATGCAGGGGACAGGTGGGAGGATTCCTTGAGCCCTGGAGATTACAGTGAGCTACGATCAACCATTGCACTCCATCCTGGACAACAGAACGAGACCCTGTCTCTAAGAAAAAAATGTTAAACGGTTCAACAGAAAATGAAATGTCACCAAGTTATGAATGAGTTATGAGTTATTGTTTTTATTGTCTAAGCCCTTATTAGTTCCTCCCTACTCGCATCTTAAAATATTCAACAAATAAATAAGGGCTCAAAAAAATTTTTTTTTAAACAGACTGCAATGAGAATCAAATCTTTTCTTCCTGTGATACTGGCTTCCTAGTGCCATTTCTTATTATTGGGAGTATCTGTGAACTTAATTGTATATTGCATTTTAGTTCTGGTCATGTAATTATTTAATGACTTCATACACAAAAAACTAATCTTCTCTTGAGTTTTAAAAAGTCAATAGCACCCATGGTTAAGGAAGGAAAACTGCAGCTCATTTCTTTAGGGCATTTGTTCCTTTTCAACTCATGCAATCAGACCACATTCAAGAAACAGGATGACAGTCACTGAGAGTGGCTAAAATTACAAGGTAGCACGTAATGAAAATACCACATTTAAGATATATTTATATACTGAAAATGGGGCAATGACAAGAAAATTTATAATTAAAAAAATTACTTGTTAAAGGCAAATTTCATAAGTTTTGTTTACAATCATCCACTTAATCATCTCCAAAAAAAGGCTGCATTTATTATTTTACACTAATGTTCTGTAAGTTAAAGAGAATAATCAAGTTGTCTCATGGACTGGGAGGTGACTTATTAATTCCCTTTCATTTCCAAACCTCATTAAGCAGTCACTACATTTATGAGGTAAGTCAGCTGAATGCTTGAAATCTAGATGAATTTTAAGATCTTCAATTTGTCCTGTTGAATATTCACAATACTGACATAAATAAATGCCTTCAGATAAATGTGAATTTAAATGCTTGCAATATTCTAGCATACTTGAAAAGCCTTTCCCACAGTCATCACAAACATGAGGAAAAATTTTAGTATGTTCAATAGCAACATGCCTGTTAACATTTGTATGAAGTCTACTCCGAAAACCACATACTTGACATACGAAGAAGTTTTTACATTTGTCGAAGGTAATTTTGCTCAAGAGGCTATACTGTCCATGCTCTCCGTGGTTATACTTATCACTTAACTCTATCAACTTACACGCGTGCTCATTTACCACGTGGCTGTGCAGGTCTTCAGGATCATTCGTTTCATGTTCACAGAACTGACACAGGTACTGCTCATCGCAGCTGTGCTCCTGGAAATGCAGGTAGAGCTCACTGCTGGAGGAGAACTGCACATCGCACTGTTCACACCAATAGAGGTGATCACTAAAATGGGTGTCTGCAATGTGCTGGCTGAGGTTCTCAAAAATTACTGTCTTATAATCACAGTATTTACAAATGTAGGGATCCTCTTCATGTAGTTTGGCATGTTCTATCAGAAGGATATTGGTAGAGAAACTTTCCTTGCATACTCGACACACGTTGGAATCAGTACGTTTATGCTTCAGGATCATATGCTGCTTTAAGTCAGAAAAATATTTGCTGTTAAACTCACAAAGTTCACATTTATAGAGGCCACTGCTATTAGCTCTCAGTAAAGGCCATTTCTGCTGGGCAGTCACATTCAAAGCTTGGCTTTTGTCAAGGATTTTACAAAGTTTAGCTGGTGGTTCTTCATCAGTTTGGTCCTGAAGACTCTCAGAAGAATTGTTTTCTGTCTCTATGTCATAATCCTCCGAAATTGCGTGCACTTCTACAGCGATCGGAACATCTTCGGCAGCGTGAACCTCTATTGGACTCTCCTCTTGGGTTTGTTGGTTGACTGATTCAGGTGAGTCACACTCTTCATCACAAATTTCAGTATCAGCAGATTTTTCTGAAGAATAAAACAAACCTATTATATGACTATGACTCAATAAGATCTGTTAGACAAACACAACCTGGCAAAAAGAAATTTATTGTGTATACTTTTTAAAAATTCATCAATACAAAATATATCAATGCTATTAGTTAGTCCCCAACCTGTGGAAAAGGCAGTGTGGTCTAGAATTCTAAGTACAGGACTGGGAACCAGGTAGTTCCGATTTCTGTTTCTGGCCTTGATTCCATCTGCAAATTTTGGCAAGTCATTTGATGTCTCGGTATCAGAATCATCATCTGTAAAAAGGGATTTGGAAGAATACTTATTATTTATATAATCAAAGCATTAATATACAACAGAGCATCAATTTTTTAAATACAATTTTGAATTCCAACAGTAACTGAGGACTTGTATTTAGTCAAAAAAAGAGAAGTTATCTACAGACTTCAGACACACAGAAAATCTGCTCAAACAAGCAAATGCTTTTGAATTGATGCCCTATTTGGACTAGTTACACTTCTTGAAATTCCTTAGGATTCTGTTCAAATTACTGAGTTTGAATAAGCCTCTATACCCGCAGGCCAGCCCTAGCGTTTCAAAGTTAGCACTGGGAAACTGAAATACAGGTTAATAGTGAAAACTGGGCTTCAACATATTTGGGGGAATGAGGTTTTACTCCGTCCGTCAAGGCTGGAGTACAGTGGCATGATCTTGGCTCACTGCAGCCTCAAACTCCTGGGTTCAAGGGATCCTTCAGCCTCAGCCTTCTGAGTAGCTAGGGCTACAGGCATGCACCAAGCCCCGGTAAAATTTTTTTTTTTAAGATGGTGTCTTGCCATGTTGTCCAGGCTGGCCTCAAACTTCTGGCCTTAAGTGGATCCTCCCACCTTGGCCTCCCCAAGACCTGGGATCATAGGTATGAGCCACCACACCCAGCCAATCCATCATATTTTCTTAAAATAGACTTTATTTTTTAGAATAGTTTTAGAATCACGGAAAAATCTGAGGATAGTATGGAGAGGTCCCAGTTTCCCCACTACTAACGTCTAACATTAGTAGGGCACATTTGTTGCAATTAATGGCCAATACTGATATCTTATTAATAAAGCCAATAAAGTCATCTTAATTTCCTTAGTTTGTACCTGATGTCCATTTTCTGTTCCAAGATACCACATTACATTAAGGAATCATGTCTCTCTAGGCTACTGTCGGCTGTGGCAGTTTCTCAGCCCTTGAGGAGTACTAATCAGGCATTCTGTAGGATGCCTTGCTAATGGAATTTGTCTGGTTTTTTTCTTTAAATGATTAGGCTGGAATTACAATTACCGGGAGACAGCATAGAGGTAAATCACCATTTTCCTCACTTCTTACCAAGGGCACATACTACCAACATGATTGATGACTGCAGATGTTGATCTTGATCACCTGGCTAAGTAGTTATCAGGTTTCAGCACTACAAAGTTGTGCTTTTTACTTTCCATACTTAACCCCTTGTAAGGAAGTCACTATGTGCAGTCCATACTTAAGGAGTGCAGAGTTACGTTCCACCTCCTAGAGGTAGGTAATAACTACATAAATAATGTGGAATTTTATTGCTTTTTGCCTTTTGGCTAAGATCAAGTCTAATAATTTGGAATTTTTGGGCCTCTTCTCCTCTATCTAATAATTTACAACAGCATGAATTCAGGGATATTTATTTCAAACTCCGGGTTATAACTCAAATAGTTTTCAGTCTTGGCTACTGGGAGCTCCTTAAGTTGACTTGGGCTCCTTCAGCATGCCCCTGTCAAGCGTGTGTGTTTGGGTTTTTTTAAAGTACTTCCCCATTTTCCAGCACTACAAGATGCTCTAGGTTCTTGTATATTTCCTGCTCCAGACCTAGAATCAGCCATTTCTCCAAGAAGGCCTAGTTCTTTTTACTAGAGAATGGCATTAGAAACCAAGACCTGGGCACTAAATGTGCTCATGCTCACTGCTTCTGGGTGTCGTTTCTTTTAGGCCCTCTCCGCTGAGAGAGCAAAAAGTGTGTGTGTGTGTACAGTGCCACATATACACACGTATATCTATAAGCATGGATGGCCACATATATGCCACATATATATACACACGTATCTATAAGCATGGATGGCCACAAGTATTCATACTTCCACAAGTATGAATTCATACTGATGTCTCCAACTCTACATGTTTTCTGTAATTTATATTTCTGTGCCTCTAACGGGAGCTCAAGGGAACTGGGACAATCTGGTTGCAGACGATGATGATTAAGAGCAAGTTGTAAGCTGTAGTCATTCATCAATGCTTTAGAATAGAGGAGCCCATAGAAGATGCAAGATTGAAAAACACCAAATCACCCTCTGTTCTTTCCTTCCACAATGTGTGGTATAGCTGTGTCTAACACTACTCTTAACCTTTCAACATAAATGCTACCAATTCTGGGTCACTCCTGCTTTGCTACCAATTCCTAACCAACTAAAGTGGATTTAGGGCTAAGAGCGATGGCTCACACCTGTAATCTCAGCACTTTGTGAGGCCAACATGGGAGGGTTATTTGAGGTCAGGAGTTCAAGACCAGCCTGGTCAATATAGTAAGACCTTGTCTTTACAAAAAAAATTTTTTTTTTTTTTTTTGTGAGACAGAGTTTCACTCTTGTTACTCAGGCTGGAGTGCAATGGCGTGATCTCGGCTCACCACAACCTTCGCCTCCTGGGTTCAGGCAATTCTCCTGCCTCAGCCTCCTGAGTAGCTGGGATTACAGGCATGTTGCACCAGGCCCAGCTAATTTTTTGTATTTTTAGTAGAGACGGGGTTTCACCATGTTGACCAGGATGGTCTCAATCTCTTGACCTCGTGATCCACCCAACAAAAAAAATTTTTTAAATAGTCAGGTGTGGTAGTACATGCCTGTAGTCCCGGCTACTCAAAAGCCCGAGTGGGAGGATAGCATTAGCCCAAGAGGTCGAGAATGCAATGAGCCATGATCTACAGAGTTAGACATGGCTGCATTTCAGCCTGGGTGACAGAATGAAGACTGTCTCCCCGCAATCACCCCTCCTTCAAAAAAAAAAATGGACTTAGAAGAGTACACTTTTTTATTTATATGTCAGAAATAATGTTATAAGTGAATATTATGGCCAGGCGCCATGGCTCATGCCTGTAATCCCAGCACTCTGGGAGGTGGAAGTGAGCAGATCACCTGGGATCAGGAGTTCAAGACCAGCCTGGCCAACATGGTGAAACCATACCCGTCTCTACTAAAAATACAAAAATTAGCTGGGCATGGTCCCAGCTACGCAGGAGGCTGAGGCAGGAGAATTGCTTGAACCCGGGAGGTGGTGGTTAAAATGAGCCGAGATCAAGCCACCGCACTATAGCATGGGCAACAGAACAATACTGTCTCAAAAAAAAAAAAAAAAATTACTTGCTTTCTTAAAAAATTACAGCTTTGTTTTCTTACATTGTAACAAGTTTCAAAGACTTCAATCCACATTTAACCCACATTTTCAGGTAAGAAATAAAAAATGTAAAAGCAGTTTTAAGAAACATTTTAAAAAATATTAGATATACCTTTGTTGTCAAAATATCTTAAATCTGGCTGTCTCATAGAACAGACACTGTAACAATGATCAGAAAAAATTCCATTGAATCCATCTGCAATTCTGCTTATTCCAGAGGAATCTGAACATAAAACAAAATAAAAAATATTTTAAGCACAGTAAACATACACATTTAATGAGAAACTTCCCATTATCTATCATATACAAATGTTCATGATGTTAATTATAGCCTCTGTAATGAAAATACTACATATTTTCAACTTTTTTTTTTTTTTTTTTTGAGACGGAGTGTTGCTCTTGTTGCCCAGGCTGGAGTGCAATGGCACGATCTCGGCTCACCGCAACCTCCGCCTCCTGGGTTCAGGCAATTCTCCTGCCTCAGCCTCCTGAATAGCTGGAATTACAGGCACGTGCCACCATGCCCAGCTAATTTTTTGTATTTTTAGTAGAGACAGGGTTTCACCATGTTGACAGGATGGTCTCGATCTCTTGACGTTGTGATCCACCCGCCTCGGCCTCCCAAAGTGCTGGGATTACAGGCTTGAGCCACCGCGCCTGGCCTATTTTCAACTTTTAAAGCTTTTTTTTTTTTTTTTTTTTTTGAGATGGGGTTTTGCTCTTGTTACCCAGGCTGGAGTGCAATGGCACGATCTCGGCTCACCGCAACCTCCGCCCCCTGGGTTCAAGCAATTCTCCTGCCTCAGCCTCCCTAGTAGCTGGGACTACAGGCGTGCGCCACCATGCCCAGATAATTTTTGTATTTTTAGTAGAGACGCGGTTTCACCACGTTGACCAGGATGGTCTCGATCTCTTGACGTTGTGATCCACCCGCCTCGGCCTCCCAAAGTGCTAGGATTACAGGCTTGAGCCACCGCGCCCGGCCTATTTTCAACTTTTAAAGCTTTTATATTTCAGATCTGATACTGACATTGGGCTTTGAAAGAATCACAGCTTTTATATTTCAGATCTGATACTGACATTGGGCTTTGAAAGAATCACAAATTATATACTTTAAAACACAACTTTGAAATACACAAGGATACATTTGCTTCATACTCAGAATCACATAAAATCAAAATATATGATAAACACTATATTAACTGCACCAAACAGTGAACCACCAGGAACGTGTGCCATCATGCAGATAAAGTTTATTACGTAGTGGAAATGGTGAGGCCTACTTAGGGCTTATGAATACAGTCATTTCAAGTCTTGTCTAGGGAGGGCCAGCAAGCAGTCTACCAGGCTTAATTTACTTAGATATTAAGAATGTGCGGCTGGGCGCGGTGGCTCAAGCCTGTAATCCAAGCACTTTGGGAGGCTGAGGCGGGTGGATCACGAGGTCAAGAGATCGAGACCATCCTGGTCAACATGGTGAAACCCCGTCTCTAATGAAAATACAAAACATTAGCTGGGCATGGTGGTGAGTGCCTGTAGTCCCAGCTACTCAGGAGGCTGAGGCAGGAGAATTGCTTGAACCCAGGAGGCGGCGGTTGCGGTGAGCCAAGATCGTGCCATTGCACTCCAGTCTGGGTAACAAGAGCGACACTCCGTCTCAAAAAAAAAAAAAAAAAAAAAAAAAAAGAATGTGCAGGCTGGGCAGACTAACAGGCAAGACTGAGACCGTCCCACGCAAATGTACGCGAGGTGCATTAGTTAGAGATGGCCACAAAGACCCCTTTTCTTACACTACCAACACAGCAGAGCCAACCCCAATCAAAGGATCTGAAACTACACAGTCAACCAGCCTGGCCAGCATGGTGAAACCCAATCTCTACTAAAAGTACAAAAAATTCACCGTGCACAGTGGTGTGCGCCTGTAATCCCAGCTGCTCGAGAGGCTGTGGCAGAGCAACTGCTTGAACCCAGGAGGCAGAGGTTGCAGTGAGTCAAGATCGAACCACTGCACTCCAGCCTGGGCTACAGAGCAAGGCTCTGTCTCAAGAAAAAAAAATTTCAGTCAGAAAGTTTCCATTCCCAAAAGTAATAGAGAAGAGAATGTCTTTTTTCCCCAATAATGTAAAATATTTTCTACAGAGATTGTTATCATTGTATCTTAAGCACAACTTAGGATTCAGACATGCAAACCCCAATTATGCTGTATAAGTAAATAACCTTGGCTAATTTTAATTAATTAATTAATTAATTATTTTTTTTTTTTGAGACAGAGTTTCGCTCTTGTTACCCAGGCTGGAGTGCAATGGCGCGATCTCGGCTCACTGCAACCTCCGCCTCCTGGGTTCAGGCAATTCTCCTGCCTCAGCCTCCTGAGTAGCTGGGATTACAGGCACTCACCACCATGCCCAGCTAATTTTTTGTGTTTTTAGTAGAGATGGGGTTTCAACATGTTGACCGGGATGGTCTCAATCTCTTGACCTCATGATCCACCCGCCTCGGCCTCCCAAAGTGCTGGGATTACAGGCTTGAGCCACCGCGCCCGGCAATTTTAAATATTTATAACCCATAGAGCTGTGAGGAATAAAATAATGTCTATAAAGTTCTTATGTATGCCTACCGCATGGTAGACAATAAGGAATATATATTCAGAGAATGTATTTAAACCGTTCTTTTACCTAAAAACTGACCCAGACATTTAAGTCTCATTTGATCACTTAGGAGAAAGGGAATATAATTTTGTGGGAATTAATTCATACTCAATTAAAAATAAATAAATTATACACTTACCTGAATAACGAGAAGGGTGTAGAGTCTTCCTTTTTCTTTTTTTAGGATACTCATTCATATCTTTTCAGTCTAAAAAATGAAAAAAAAAATAACAAATATGTCACAAATAACAACTGTTAATGATGTTATATAAAAATTCTAGCCAGGCGCAGTGGCTCAAGCCTGTAATCCCAGCACTTTGGGAGGCTGAGGCGGGTGGATCATGAGGTCAGGAGATCAAGACCATCCTGGTCAACATGGTGAAACCCCGTCTCTACTAAAAATACAAAAATTAGCTGGGCATGGTGGCGTTTGCCTGTAATCCCAGCTACTCAGGAGGCTGAGGCAGGAGAATTGCCTGAACCCAGGAGGCGGAGGTTGCGGTGAGCCGAGATCGTGCCATTGCACTCCAGCCTGGGTAACAAGAGCGGAACTCCGTCTCAAAAAAATAAAAAATAAAAAATAAAAAAATAAACGAATAAATAAAAATTCTAACTGAAGAATTCATTGGCAATAAGAAATATGTGAGCCACCTGAAAACCTACAGTATAAGAAAAATGTTAAACAATGCCTCTGTTTGTATTTCAGATTGTCTTTCCAATCAGGTTTCAAGGCAGAAACTGATTTCTGTTTTCTTTCTTATAGAGGTTTGAAAAACTTATGTTTCAAATGTTGATACAAATTGTGAGACCTGGATAATTACAATAAACCACATGCTGAAATCATTTTGTGTGTGTGTGTGTGTGTGTGTGTGTACATGTGTGTGAGTGTATGTATATACATATACATATACATATACATATATATATATGAGAAACATTGTGCCTATGGCACCATATTAGGAGTTTTATAGGCACACTTCGTATCATTGGAAATATTTTCATGCAGTTTTCAAGCTAAAGGCGGAGACATTTCCTTTAAAAAAATACTGTCGGCCGGGCGTAGTGGCTCACGCCTGTAATCCAAGCACTTTCGAGGCCAAGGTGGGCAGATCACCTGAGGTCAGGAGTTCAAGACCAGCCTGACCAACATGGTGAAACCCTGTCTTTATTAAAAACAAACAAACAAACAAAACTGTCACAAATATGTATCGGCCTCTTGATTTCCAGAAAAAAAGTACTCATCACATACAAGATCAGTATATAAATAATTTTCAAGAAGAAAATCATTTTTCTATTTATGAGGTGACATTCAACATTCCACTGATAACCCAACAGATACAGCAACCACTGTCCAATTAAAATAAATTAGTTTCAAAACGGTTCACTTACATGGTATAATTCTTAATACTGAAGCGAGGAGAAACGAATTACAGTAAGTTTCTACAGATGGTAAAAAATGCCTGTAAGTAAAACATGAAAGCAGTAAGCAAAAATACAGCTTATTTCTAGTACTGAATAATATAATGGCACCAGATCTTTAATCAATTGGAAAGTATACAGAATTAAGGTATATTATTTTGAATATACTATGTACTAAAAACTGTATATATTATATACTGACAAATATGTGATAACATGTAAATTTCTATATTTATTGAAATGATTTACCTTCTATAGTTTTTTTTTGACAGAGTCTCACCCTGGCCTATAGTTTGACACCAAAATAGGAATATGAATCTGAATTAATTTATTTATCCATAAGGAAAGCAAGCAAAATGAAAGCAAACCAAATTTACAAACTTTTTGTTTTTGACACAGAGTTTTGCTCTCGTCACCCAAGGTGGAATGCAATGGCACAATCACAACTCACTGCAACCTCTGCCTGCCCAGTTCAAGCGATTCTCCTGCCTCAGCTTCCCGAATTGCTGAGATTACAGGCACATGGCACCATACCATGCTAATTTTTTAATTTTTAGCAGAGACAAGGTTTCACCATGTTGGCCTGGCTGGTCTCAAACTTCTGACGTCAGGTGATCTGCTCGCCTTGGCCTCCAAAATTGCTGGGATTACAGGCATGAGCCAACTCGCCTGGCCCAAATTATGAAACTTTAAACTGTTACAGTCCTTACAGATTTAAAAAACAAAGTGTAATTCCAGCACATTGGGAGGCCAAGGTGGGTGGATCACCCAAAGTCAGGAGATCAAGATTAGCCTGGCCAAAATGGTGAAATCCTGTCTCTACACCCTCTCAAAATCATTACTCACTTCTTGTTATTGATGAGGAAACAGGCACAGTAAAGTTAAGTCAAAGCTGGATACTCAATAAATGCTGTGGTTGAGATTTGAATAAAAGTTTACCCAATTTTATTTATTACCTATTTATTTGAAACGGAGTCTTGCTCTGTCACCCAGGCTGGAGTGCAGCGTTGCGATCTTGGCTCACTGCAATCCCCGCCCCCTGGGTTCAAGTGATTCTCCTGCCTCAGCCTTCCGGGTAGCTGGGACTACAGATGCACGCCACCATGCCTGACTAATTTTTGTATTTTTAGTAGAAACGGGGTTTTGCCTTGTTGGCCAGGCTGGTCTCAAACTCCTGACTTCAAGCAATCTGCCTGCCTTGGCCTCCCAAAGTGCTGGGATTACAGGTGTGAGCCACTGAATCTGGCCCGTCTATTCAATTTTAAAGCCCATACTTTCAATTCCTTTTATTTTTGGAAATAAATAGGGAAATAAAATGACCACCCCAGTTCAGGTTGAGTAGTGTCTCAGGTTAGTGTTCTTCCGAAGCAGTGGGCAGGTAAGACATGTTAGAAATAAAAACGTATTGTTAAGTTTTCTCCATCAGTTTTTTTTAACACACTGTTTTTGTTTTTGTTTTGTTTTTTTTTTTTTTTTTTGAGACAGAGTTTCGCTCTTGTTACCCAGGCTGGAGTGCAATGGCGCGATCTCGGCTCACCGCAACCTCTGCCTCCTGGGTTCAGGCAATTCCCCTGCCTCAGCCTCCTCAGTAGCTGGGATTACAGGCACGAGCCACCATGCCCAGCTAATTTTTTGTATTTTTAGTAGAGACGGGGTTTCACCACGTTGACCAGGATGGTCTCGATCTCTCAACCTCGTGATCCACCCGCTTCGGCCTCCCAAAGTGCTGGGATTACAGGCTTGAGCCACCGCGCCAGGCCTTGTTTTTTTTATTTTTGAGAAAGAGTCTAGCTCTGTCGCCCAGGCTGAAGTGCAGTGGTGCGATCTTGGCTCAGTGCAACCTCTGCCTCCCTGGTTAAAGTGATTCTCTTGCCTCAGCCTTCTGAGTGGCTGGGATTACAGGCGTGCGCCACCACATCCAGCTAATTTTTGTATTTTTAGTAGAGATGGGGTTTCACCGTGTTGGCCAGGCTGGTCTCAAACTCTAACCTCAAGCAATCTGCCCATCCCGGCCTCCCAAAGTGCTGGATTACAGGTGTGAGTCACTGCGCCCAGCATACAGTGCGTTTAACCCAGAGTGACACATGACAGGTGTTCTAGTTGAGATACACATACCATTTTTGCTTCTTCACTAAGCTCTGGGTTTATCAGCAGTAAAGTGATATAATAATACAGCAGGGAATGAGACAGTGCTTTTCAGTTTACTAAGCATTTTCCTAACCCTTATTCTATTTCATCTTCAAAACAGTCCTGTGAGGTACATGGAGGGGTTACTATAAAACCCATTTACACTTTTACTGATGCAGAAACAGCCTTAGTGAAAGTTAGGTCAACTACTAAGTGGGAGAACCCGAGATGAAAATGCATGTGTTCTGACCCCTGGGCGTTGAATAACCAACACTATGTGAGTATATTTTCACTGCTAATCACCATCACTAGCAAGTTACATCTTGCTCCCAGCTCTTAGCTACCAGTTGGGAGAAGAGGAAGGGAACAGCCTAAAGAAACCGACAACCATGAAATGTACAGAAATGATACCAATATATCAAATGCCTCACCTAACAACATACACAATCATTCCTTGAGTAACCATTCCAATTCACCGCACTCAAAAACTAAAAAGAGCTGTTTCTATCTTTATGTAATAAACTAAAATTTCAAGACTTATTAATACTGCTTTTGTGTACTTCCAGGATTCATAAAGCCCAAATTTCACACTTCATGTTTTAAATACTCTAAAAGTGTCAGAGAGAACACTGAAAACTGTCAGGGGCACATGCTAAGTAGTCTCGTTATTTTAGAATACATTTCAAGTTCTTTAGAATTTGAAGAATAAAAGTAAAAAAATGAAAGCTAGCCTGTTGTTAAAACTAATGTTGCAAGCTGGCCTGGTTTCAGGCAGTCAGGTGAGAGGAGCAGGGTCACGTGGATCAGGAAGGGTTTGACTCCTACATAGGGGCCGAGGAATATCCAAATGTCTATCGGACCTCCTTTCAGCATGATGGTGAGATGACTACTCAACCATCCTTCATTTTAGCAAACATTTTTATGTGCCTTTTGTGTGCACAACAGCCATGAAAAAAATTTAGTTTTTTACTCAAGGATGTCAGAAACATTTGCTCACTAGTCTTCCTTTTTTTTTTTTTTTTAAATAGAGACGGGGTTTCACTATGTTGGCCAGGATGGTCCCGATATCTTGACCTCGTGATCCTCCCGCCTCGGCCTTCGAAAGTGCTGGGATTACAGGCGTGAGCCACTGCGCCCGGTCTCACTAGTCTTTTTCTTTTCTTTTCTTTTTAAGACGAAGTTTCGCTCTTGTTGCCCAGGCTAGAGTGCAATGGCGTGATCCTGGCTCACTGCAACTTCCGTCTCCCGGATTCAAACGATTCTGCTGCCTCAGCCTCCCCAGTAGTTAGGATTACAGGCATGCGCCACCATGCCCAGCTAATTTTGTATTTTTAGTAGAGACAGGGTTTCTCCATGTTAGTCAGGCTGGTGTCGAACTCCGAACCTGAGGTGATTCGCCCACCTCAGCCTCCGGAGGTGCTTGGATTACAGGCGTGAGCTATCGCGCCCGGAACTCAAGGATGTCAGAAAGATTTGCTCAATAGCCTTTTTTTTTTTTTTTTTTTTTGAGACTGACTCTCGCTGTGTCACCCAGGCTAGAGTGCAACGGCGCGATCGCTCACTGCAACCTCTGCCTTCCAGATTCAAGGGATTCTCCTGCCTCAGTCTCCCAGTAGCTGGGATTACAGGTGCCCGTCAACACGCCCAGCTACTTTTTGTATTTTTAGTAGAGACAGGGTTTCACCATGTTAGCCAGGGCTGGCCTCGAACTCTTGGCCTTGTGATCTGCCTGCCTCGGCCACCTCTCCCGGTCACTCACTAGTCTTCTTAGCAGGAAGATTCGGAATCATAAGCAACTTATCACACAGTCCTCCTCCCTCCCTTCGCCTCCGACTTAAACACAAACGATGTATGCAACATGTGTCAGGAGGAAAATCAGAAAAAAAACGTTTAAAAAATTTTATATCACCTAGACTATTTACCCAGAAAGCCCACCGTTAACAGCATTTTTCTTATGCTAAGGTCTCACACAGATTCTTTTTTTTTACATTTATGAAAAGGGAACCGTGCCTTTTCAAAAACCGTGCTTTTTTCAAAAAAGGCACCTTAATACGTGTCAGTATCTTTCCACGCGTCATTTTTTTCAACCAACAAGTCAGCAATGATCACATACAACAGGCAGTCAGCAATTATCAAATCAATCAACGTTTTAAAAGGCTTTTCACGCAATGTGTGTTCTAATTGGTATAAGACGCCTTTACAGTAAATAACTCCACTTTAAACTAAACTTTCCTTTTCGTTCTCGTAAAAATAAGCATATGCTTTAAATCTGAAAAGCAGCACGCTGCCGAAGAGGCTGCGCTCGAACCCGCGCTGCGTGCCGCTCGGAGGCGTCATTCCCGAAACGCCGCGCGGTCGCGGAGGGTTTCGTTTGCTACTCTTCGGTCGAGCACAAAAACCTCTTTGTAACCCGGGCACCGACGGCTTCCGAGCCTGGCTTCCCCGGACTGCGCTGAAACGCGAAACCCAAGCGGGTTTCTCCCAGGGCGGGCGGCTCTCGGCGGCCACGGCCGTTGTGCGAGCCCGAGGAGGCGCCGCCGGAGGCCACGGAGCGGGCAGGGCCGCAGCGCCGGCGGGGACTAGGGGCTCCCGGGACCCGCCCTGCCCGCAGCCCGCGCCGTGATCCCCAGGCCCGACCGCCAGGGCTCCGTTCACATCGGGCGGCCGGGCCGGCGTGTCCCACCCAGGCGGTTTCCGCGTCCGGGGCCCCGGCCTCGCCCGCGCTCTCCCGCCGGAAGCGGCGCCCGCGGCGCCCGCGCCTCCCGCGCACTCACCAGTCAGTCCCAGGGGCCCACCCGGCCCAGCGGAGCGCAGAGTCGGCGGCGGCCGAGGGCCCGGAGCGCGGACGACGGCGGCGCGGTCCTTCTCTCCCCGGCCTGGGATCCGCGGCCGCCGCGCCCCCCCGCCCCCCTCCGCGCCTGCGCCGCGCTCAGGGGCTCGCGAGGGGGACGCCGCGGGGCGGGTGGGGGCCGCGCGAACGCTCCGCACACGCCGCCCGGGAACGACCACCCGCCCGCAGCCCCGGGGCGGGGGGCCAGAGGTCTCGCGCCGCCGCGCGCTCCTTCCGGACGGCGAAGCGCCCCTCCCGCGCCCCGAGGGTGAGCCCCGCCTGCAGCGCCCCCTCGCGCCCGCGGGAAGTGGGAGGAACGCGGCGCGCGGCCCCTTTCCCACGCTGTCCCCGGGGAGGGCGCTTCGGACGCTGGGCGCGGCCTGCGGTTAGAACCGGCCCGGGGCGGCAGGGTGACGCCGGAGGCGGCCTCGCGCGGCTGCCTGCCCCGGGAACAGCGGGAGGAGCTGCGCGGACCGGACTCGGTCATCGGAGTCCCTTCTCCGAGCGGCTGCGGACGCGATGGAGTCACAGGAGCGCAGGTAAATCCGCGCGGTTCCCCGCCGCGCCGCGCTGGTCCTGGGTTTAATTCGACGCTTTTGACAACGGGGGAGGTTTTTAGTCACACGGGACGCGATGGAAAAGTGATGGTGGGAGAAGCCGAAGGCTGGGTCGCAACCTGAGCGCCAGACGGTGAGGACGACGGCGGGAGGCTGCGCGGATCGTCGGGTCCCCGAGGCCACGCGGACGGTCACGGCGGCCAGGAGGTCTCCATTCGCGTCCGCTGCATTCTCTGACACCCACGCGCTGATAAACTCATCGATCGCTGGAAAGTAATGATCGCAGAGTGCTCGGATCCCTTCGCCATCTCCCAGGAGACAAAGCTGCGTTTGAAAGGGACGCTGCGTGTTTGTGAGGCTGTTTTTAGGACCTCCTAATTTTTATGTCGTACTCAGCTCGAATAAGCGAAGGTTCACCAATTAAAGAAGAAATGTGGAGACATTTTTGATTCCTAGAATAGTTGGTACCTAGCACAGAACCGGGAATCGGTGGAAACCACGAGAGGCTGTCATGCCACCGTTTTACTGTGTGGTTCGCACACAGCCTTGTGTCAAACAAAATCTTTATATTTTAAGGCGAAGTTTTACTCCAAAACATTTTGTAGTGAAAGTAAACGCACACTCTCCCCAGCACCCCACCTACTGTTTGCACTTAGAGGAGCGTGACGTTGTTTAACACAATCACAAACTGCAAGCAATTTCAAGTTCTTTGAGTAGCTGGAGTGTTTTTCACTTTTATTTTTGGGTCCCTCTTTTCCTCATCTCCCGTTCCAAGGAAAGGTGATAGCTGGGACAAATCCCTAAAATCTCAAAAGTACCAAGCTGTAGAGTTTGTTAAATACTATTATACATTTGATTCAGGGCTATTAAAACATCATTCTTCCAACTTTTTGACACACTTGTAGAATAACTTAATCTTTCTTTTCTTCTTCTTTTTTTTTTTTTCTTTGGCAGAGTCTCACTCCGTGTCCCGGGCTGCAGTACAGTGATGGAATATTGGCTCATTGCAACCTCTGCCTCCCAAGTACAAGTGATTCTTGTGCCCCAACCTTCAGATTAACTGGGATTACGGGCACCGGCCACCACACCGGCTAATTTTTGTATTTTAGTAGCGATGAGGTTTCACCATATTGGCCAGGCTGGTCTTGAACTCCTGGCCTCAAGTAATCCGCCTGCCTTGGCCTCCCAAGGTGGTGGGATTACAGACTCAAGCCTCCACATTCGGCCACTCAATTTCTTCCTGATGAGAAAAGAGTTTAGTACATAATGGAGACCACAGAAAGTACGAAGAGCAGAAGTAAATTTACCGTAGTCTCACAACCGTGAGATAATCAATGGTAGCATTTTGCTTTACATCTTTCTGTTATTATTTTATTTTATTTTTGAGGCAGAGTTTCACTCTTGTTATTCAGGCTGGAGTGCAATGGCACGATCTCGGCTCACCACAACCTCTGCCTCCTGGGTTCAGGCAATTCTCCTGCCTCAGCCTCCTGAGTAGCTGGGATTACAGGTACGCGCCACCATGCCCAGCTAATTTTTTGTATTTTTAGTAGAGACGGGGTTTCACCATGTTGACCAGGATGGTCTCGATCTCTTGACTTCGTGATCTACCCGCCTTGGCCTCCCAAAATGCTGGGATTACAGGCTTGAGCCACTGTGCCTGGCCACATCTTTCTGTTATTTTTATACTTATACAGACATACAAATTTGTTTTCAGAATTAGAATATTGGTTGTATTTTTTTCTAACAGGTTCTTTTTTCCAGTTAGTATAGCATGAGCATTCTTTATATTATTAAAGTGTTAATAGCACCTTAAAAATCACTATAAATTAAACAGTAGACATTATTTAAAATGCTTTGCCAATTTGGTAAGTAAAATATGCTATTCCAGGCCGGGCGCGGTGGCTCAAGCCTGTAATCCCAGCACTTTGGGAGGCCGAGGCGGGTGGATCACAAGGTCAAGAGATCGAGACCATCCTGGTCAACATGGTGAAACCCCGTCTCTACTAAAAATACAAAAAATTAGCTGGGCATGGTGGTGCGTGCCTGTAATCCCAGCTACTCAGGAGGCTGAGGCAGGAGAATTGCCTGAACCCAGGGGGCGGAGGTTGCGGTGAGCCAAGATCACACCATTGCACTCCAGCCTGGGTAACAAGAGCGAAACTCCGTCTCAAAACAAAAACAAAAACAAAAACAAAAAACAAAAAATATTTTAGACTTTTAATTGTCATATCTGCTGCATGTTTGTTTTTGCCTCTTCTTGTTTTTTTTCTTTTTGATATGAGGTCCTGCCCTGCTGTCCAGGCTAGAGGGAATGGTGCTGCGGGCTGACTGCAGCCTCGACCTCCCAGGCTCAAGCAGCTCTCCCACCTCAGCCTCCCCAGTAGCTGAGGTTGCAGGCCCCATACAACCACACCTGGCTAATTTTAAAATTACTATTTTTCTGTAGAGACCAGGTCTCCTTATGTTGCCAGGGCTGGTCCCAAACTCCTGGGCTCAAGCACCCAGTCTGCATATTTCTTTGTAGTTTGTTGTTTGCTTTTTGTTTGTGGTACAAACATTTTAAATTGCTGTGAAAGTGAGTCTATTAATCTTTTCTTCTGCAAGTTCTACTTTTGGCCTTTTGCTGAGATAATCTTTTCTTCTACACAAGATCTGGTTGCACTTTCTGCTTTAGCTTTTTATTTTATCTGTAATTTATTTCGGGATATGGGATGAAGAGGACTCTTTCTCTGCGTGGTCCTTTTGTTTCATTTCTCCCCATCTTGTGTAACAGCCTGAAAATAAATTTGTAAGAAATAAAATAGGCCAGGCGTGGTGGCTCACGTCTGTAATCCCAGTACTTTGGGAGGCTGAGGCAGGTGGATCATGAGGTCAGGAATTCGAGACCAGCCTGACAAACATGGTGAATCCCCACCTCTAAAAAAAAAATAAATAAAATAAATAAATAAAATAGCTTCATCTGATGCCCGAGTAATCTCATAAGGCATTAGTTTTCAAACATTTTCTGTATCAGAATCACTGGGATATCTCATTAAAGTACAGATTTCTGTATTTTATCCCAAAGTTTTAAACTGGGTAAGTCTGGGCTAGGGCCTGAGTAGCTGCAGTTCTAACAAATTTCCTTTTCATGTCCATGCTGCTGGCCTGTGATCACACACGGAGAACCACTGTCCTAAGGCTGTCATCACCCACACCAACCATGCAGTATTTCTCACTATTCTGGAGATAAATTCTGCCTTCTTCTCACTGGGGTGATCTAGCATGTTTCTTCCACCTGCAGTTTGTGTCCTTTGTCTCTGTCTGTAAGATGACGTTCATAGTTGATCTCTTTTGTGAAACCTTGACTTTTCTCTTGCTGAGATCTCTGATCAGTCTTTAGAGATTCCACAGTAGTTAGTACATTTGTCCACTTATCACCAGAGATGCATTTCCTGTGAAGGTATTGAAGCTTAAATTTCAAGTCCCTTCGATTGCACAAACCTCTTCTAAGACAAGGTACTTAATTTTGTATTTATAATTTTATTTTATTTTTAAAATTTGTTTATTTATTTTGAGACAGAGTCTCACTGTGTCACCCAGGCTGAAGTGCAGTGGCATGATCTTGGCTCATAGCAACCTCCTCCTCTAGGGTTCAAGCGATTCTCTTGACTCAGCTTCCTGAGTAGCTGGGAATTCAGGTGTGCGCCACCACACCTGGCTAATTTTTGTATTTTTAGTAGAGACAGGGTTTCACCATGTTGGCCAGGTTGGTCTCGAACTCCTGATCTCAGGTGATCTACCTGCGTCAGCCTCGACAAAGTCCTGGGATTACAGATGTGAACCTCTGCGCCTAACCTGTATTACGATTTTACATTATTTTTCTTTTTTTTTATTTTTTATTTTTTATTTTTTATTTATTTATTTATTTATTTAGAGACGAAGTTTCGCTCTTGTTACCCAGGCCAGAGTGCAATGGCGCGATCTCGGCTCACTGCAACCTCCACCTCCTGGGTTCAGGCAATTCTCCTGCCTCAGCCTCCCGAGTAGCTGGGATTACAGGCACGCGCCACCATGCCCAGCTAATACATTATTTTTCTTAAATGGATCTCCCCAGCTTGCAGAAGCTTCTGCCCTTGCAAAGTTTGCCTCTATCTGTCTGCCATGCCATTTCTCCACAGACTGTGAGTTCCAGTTTTATTATCTTCCAGTCTGCTCCATTTCCCTGCTGAGCACAGTGTCTTGCGTACAGCCTCATTCATTGCTTTCAGCAGAATATTCATTGCATATCTACCTTGTATTCAGCATTACTAGATACTGGCAATACAGTGTGAGCAAGATAGACATGGTCGTTGGTCTGCTGGTCCTTACAGTTGAGTTGGGAATACAGGCAATTATATAAAACTGGAATGTAATAAGTAAACTTACATAGTGCAAGTAAAAAATGTTTATGGGAGCACATGGCCTAGCTTGGTATTCTGTTTGTCGAATGAATTGATAAACTCTGTCATGGTTACCTAGTCAGCTGACACTAGTGCACACCTGGCTAGGGGCATACTTCTGACTCAGACATGAGGTGGCTGCATGCCAGGTTCAAGTCAGCGATCTCACATACTTAGAGACATCTGCCCTCCAAAATTCCAAGCCACCCTTCCACAGCTACAAGGACTCAATTTATACATTTCTTTTTGAAAGCACTGCAAGCTGGGTACAGTGGCTCACACCCGTAATC